TGAGACGGACGGCGGCCATTGCCAATGCTGATCCCACTGCTACTCATTCCAATTCGCGATTCCCAAACGGGATAGCTCGGGGTGGAGATAAGAAGGAGAAGAGCCAGAGATAAGATTTGGCGAGGCGTGGGAATGGGGTCAAGCGAGGGTAGTGTGTAGGGTAGCGTCAGGTACTATAGGAGGGTGTAGTGTAAGGATGCTAGTACTACTGTATCTCTTGTACACAGAACACTACCCGACCTTATGAGAGAGAGGGGAAACAGGAACGGGAAGAGGGGAGAGAGGGAGATTGAAGACAGTAGGTAATTACGAAAGTGGAAGGAGTCAAAAATAGAGAGAAGGAGCGAGGCTGTATACATACGTCGGCTTCTTGGTACAGAAACGGCACGACCTCGGGGGCAGGCACTGGGGTGCGCGGTCTCGAGGGCACGGGCGAGGCATCCCTATCTCGTCCGCCAGCAGTCGAGACGGAACCAAAGGTAGAGGGATGGTGATCGGTGGCATTGGAGTAGTTGCGGTCCCGGTGGGAGCGACCGCTGCCTAGGCTGTAAGAGTGCGATCGGTGTTCCTTCCCCGTGGACATGGAGCCCGAGTGACTCGGCTGGGGCAGGCTAATTTCCGACGAATCTCGGCCAGGCCAATCGTCCCGATCGCCAAAAAACTGCTGAAGCTTCTGTAGCCCGCCCCGGGTCTTGGACGTCCGCGACCCTTGGCTGCTCGCCGTGGTCGTGATCGAGGCAATCGACGGCCGCCGCTCATCGTCGTAGTATGCCGAATCCGGAAACTCCATGCTGCCCGCCGACGCCTGCGATGGCCGCGCCGTCATCGGCCGGATCCCCGGCGACAGCTGCGATATTACCGACAGATTATCCGTAGACTCATTGAAGAAGCTGCCGCCCATGGACATGCCGCCGCCGCCGTTGTTTCCCCCCAAGTACGGCGCGTACTGGCCGAGGTTGTTAAAGGCGCCCGACACCGACCCTGCAGCGTGACCCTGCTGCTGTTGCTGTAGCTGCTGCTGACTGTGCGATGACGTTCGACTTCCTCCACCACCGCCCGTGGTATCCAACATGGCCGCCATTTCTCGACGATAACCCCCCAGCTCGCTCATTCTGTGCTCGCGGATTGACGCATTGGACGGTGTAGTGGGCGACTGCTGGACCATGCGCGATCCCCCCGACGAGCCCCCTGTGGGCGATACTTGTTGGTGCTGCTGTGGTGGTTGTTGCTGCGTCGGCGTCTGCTGCGATTGGTACTGGGAAGGCGGTTGAGACTGTGAATGATAGAATTGAAGCGTGGCCTGTGACACAGGGTGCGACCGCGGCTGCGAATGCGACGACTGCGACTGCGACTGCGACTGCGACGACTCGAAATCTCTCGAAGACCTGCTGTAGATGGGCGGCACGACGCATGCACCCGTTAGCTTGAGCTACAAAGGAAGATAGGGCAAGAACAGGCTTGATATGCAAATGGACGATGGGAACGGCGCGGAACGGACGGCAAAGAAGAACGGGGTTTCCGGATAGATGCGGTGACAGTGCAGGACTGTGCAAGCAAGAACTGGATCTGGGTAGGTATCCGTATCACAGAACCGCTCGACGATCACGAACACCCTTTCCCCCGCCCCTCCTCCCCAGGAAAACAGCAAACTGCCTTGCTTCGCTTCAACTCGACTCACCTCGCAAATTGGGTGCCGTCGTCCGTCTTCAAACGCGTCGGCGCGGGCCTGCGCGAACCCTGCGAGGCGGACCGAGATACATTTTGTTGGCCATTTTGGCTGCCACTGCTGCTACTGCTGCCCGCTTGCGGCGGGGACGGCGGTCGTGTCGTCGAGCTGCCCACGCTGCTGGTCGGCGTCAAGGGTACAAGTGGCTTCGCCGTGATGCTGGATCGTGCGCTGTCGGTGCTGGAGCCCATCAAGGAGCTGAAGCGGGAGCCGCCCTCATTTCTCGTCATGGTCACCGGCGGGAGGCGAGCGGAACAAAGGTGCCGACTACTAGGAGACCACAGCCATTCCACGTGAGGAGGATGGAGATGGCCAGTGTTTTCAGGTCATGGCCTTGCCCGATGCTAAGATGGCGTAGACGTGTATGGGCCAACGAAGGATGGGGGACGTTGAATCCCGACAGCCCGAAGACGTTGCTGCTGGCGATATGCTGGGTGTTTTGTTGAGGTGTTCAGCTGAGCTATCTTGTTGGGTGGCTAAGCTCCGCGGCTGCTGCTGGTCTTTGCTGGACCGGCAAATTGATTCTAACCGCCTTTTTGGGGGGATTTGCAGCGAATCGAAAATGGATCAGATGTCGATGTTCACCAGCAGGTGAATGGGCGTAGAGGTCGGTAGAGGTGCGGTGGTAGGTCACTGGCGTATGTACCGAGAAAGGTAATGGAGAGCATGGGTGGGTGGACTGGCGGACTGGGGTTGGTGGGTGAAAAAACGCTCCAGATGGTCCACCATCAGAAACTCGATAATATGTGTCCGGACGGTCCTCATCACTAGCGGTGGTCGGAATTTGGGGCTCCGTTCAGTAGGTACTTTGGCACTACAGCAGATTTGACGAACGATTGGCCCCATAGCAAAGTCTGTAAAGTGCCTCAAAAAGAGCCGGGCAGAGGTAAGATACTCGGTTTCCTGACCGAGTCGTCGCTATGGTCGTGTAACGGTCCCGGAGAGCATCACAAATACTACCTTCTCCCTCGCGAGGTACCGAGCCTCTCTCTGTGTGAGCCGCGTAAGATAACAAGCCTGTCTGGGTCCGAAAGATCCCCGGGCGGTAATATTGCCCATTGCAGACATGAGAAAGAAATGGGGGCTGAGTGACGAGCGAGTGTGAATATCGAGAGAGTTTACACTGTCCCTCTGGTCGTTGAACTTTGAAAGTCGGAGCGGTTTCCAGGCCCGAGGCCCCTCCTCGGCGTCCCAGTTGTCGATAAAAGGTCCAAAGAGTTGGCTGGGGTTCGTTCAGCCATTGTCTATCAAAGCCTCTTTAAGTCAAGTCTCAAATGCTCTTTTGAGCATACATTTTCATATGCGGTTCTAATAATTTCAAGCCGACATGCTTCCTGTTACAGTAAAGCAGCCATACACACTTCCACGGCATATGAACAGCCGGTTCGGGCTTGTACCACCACTCCCATCTGCCATTCCGACTCTCTTAGAGGTACAACTAGCATTATCTCGGTGACAAAACAGAACACATTGAGCTTCCCGTCGGCAGTGCGGGCATCAGGCAGGTTGCTGTGCGCCAAAGCACTGCACCTCCAAAAACCACCCATGTCAAAGTCGGTCGGGTGTTAGTGTCAGGGCACGGATGCGTGGTGGGCACATCGGTAAGCCGCAGTGTACATCGATTTGCAGGGGCCAGGCCAGCATCAACTCCGCTTGGGGGGTGGTGCCCCGCAACACCCTGTCGGCGTCTCGAGGGCTCATATTGGAGGTTGCCCTTGTGAAGCTCACGATGTTCTTAGCTGTTTAGAGTTTGTTAATGGGTGTCTAGAATTGCTGCTTGTCGCTGAAGAGGTAATGCTTGATACCTGCATGCTGAACAGCTGTAAGAACCATGCAATGCTTTGAGGATCTCAACATGAGGTACCGTACGTAAGGTAGGTACTGTGTAGAGGTAGCCTCCCGCATGGTCCCCCGGTCCCCGAACGTCAATGAGCTGTGAGCGCCAAGTTCGCCGTCGCTCGGTACCTCTACCCCGTAAAATAAGGGACCTTGTCTGATCATTAGCCCACGCGGTTCAAAATAGCTACCCGAACACGTGTAGTATCGGGGTGCTCAGAGGTTGCCCCGGCCGGCGAGGGGAACCGATAAAAAGCACACTAAAGTTTAGCCAGGCTTTCCGTTGTTGGGTAGCGGGATTGACTATCTCCATTTCCCACGAACGTCACCCCTAGCGGGCATCCCACGTCTTTTCGGCGACCTTCCATCTTATTCATTTCTTATTAAACAGTCGAAAAGAGTCGAGGTGCTCATATACACTCAGAGCAAAAGCATGCCGAACCGATCTCTAGCTTCGTGCCAGTTCATGGATATCTAGCTATACATACGCTTTTGGCACGCACAGAAGGGAGGGGCTTTTCGCTTGAGTTGGCATGGCATCCCGTGATTCGATTCGATCTAACGATGGGGAGGGACCCCGATGAATGGGTTCCCTTCCCGTGTCTCGCCACAGGTAGCCACGTTCATCAAAATGGCTCGAGAATGGGTAGAGGGTAGACCGCTACTGTTGTCCTAGCTTTCTTTTACCTAACAGACAAAGGAACACAGTCTTGGGAGAGGGGAGAGGAGGGGCTTGTGAATATGCTCCAAGTTTTTGAACTTGGGTCAGAAGCAGCTCATATGCCCGAGAGGACGACTTCAGAACAGCTAGCAATGACTCGGACCAGCTAGCGAGCTTGAGGGGATACACAAAGAAAAAAAGGAAAAAAAAGAAAGAAAAAAAGGAAAAGTCTGGCCGTTTCGTCTCGAGTGTGCATGAGGGTATGAATGGATGTTTGGCAACAGGCGACGTTCGCAGATCATGTTTTGAAGAGTCGTAGCTCCCATCCAAGTTTTGTGTTTGGTAGTGCCGCTATGGCGGAGCAGTGGGAACTTAATATGTGACTTCGCATGTTTCTATCCTGAAACAAATGGAAACCTCTACAAAGAGAGGCTGTTTCTTCTATAAAAATTTCCTTCTAGCTAGAAGATTACATGACGGCCTGGCAGAAACAGAGGATGTTCAGTGAAGCGGAAAGGGGCTAGGAGATAATGATAACACCGATGTAAGCCCATGGACTGGATGAAGCCTCATGAAGTGTACCGAGCAGAAAAGGAAAGAAAAGAAATTTATCCGGTTGACAGATATTTGGTCTCCTCGTCCCAATATCTATGGCGTGAACGTCGGCACGCTTCCCTCGGTAGTGCTTCCGACGACTGACGAAACCCCTATATATTGAGAATTTGGCAACTCTGAAAAGTTCCTGAAGCGGGCTCCAGGAGGAAAGGGCTTTGGCCATTAAATATCGCAGAGTTCCGGATCCACACTAGATAGTGAAGAATCGTCGTCATCCTCATACATGATGTAACCGGTACCATTGCCGTTAGACTTAATGTCGTTGCCGTCCTGATTTGCGCCATTTTGATCATCGGACTTGACCTTATCATTGTCCGAGATGTCAATGACATCATGGTCGTTGGGCATGATCTTTTCTTCCTCGTGAGAGCCGTGCTTTATACTGTCCTGATCCTCGTGCTTGACCTTGCTCTCATCCTCGAGATGAGTCTCGTCTTCGTCTCCGAGTCCCATCTCTTCAGCCTGGATTTCGTCCTCTTCTTCGTCTTCATACAAGACGTGGTCTGCATCTTCTTCGTTCAGAAGCTCTCCTATCCATATGCTGTCCTTCATGATAGTCCTTGCCTGTTCCGCTGTCAATTTCTCATCAGTTTTCTCCTTGTCTTCCATGATCAGCCGCACGGCCAACTCTGGGACCAACACGGATTGTACGTAGACCATGTAGCCACGCGCGGAGACCAAACGATCTTGTACTGCTCTCTTCCGTAGCTCTGCCGAGAACTTGTTGACGATGTGTTCCGACATAACTCGCAGACCGCGCATGCCATAGTAACCAGGAGTCAGGTTGGCATCGGATTTCATTAGAGTCTTGTTCTGACCTGACTTGATTCTGTCGCTGAAGACATTCGCGTAGTAGGATTTACCGCCGTTGAGAATGAAACGAATGAAGTCGTTCTGCTTCCTTATCCGCTTGTCCATCACAGTCCAGTCGATATCCGGATACCCCCTATCTTCCCATTCCTTCTTGGCGGAGCGCTTTTTGTGAGACTGGCAGAATTGTTGTTCTTGATGAAGAGTCATCCTAGTACGCCTCGCTTTAAGCTCGTCCTTGGAGAATTCGTCGAGTTCCTCATCGCAAATTGGGCAGCGGACAACTCGCGAGGTTTCGAATGTAGAAGAGTCCAGGCTCGAAAGAAGCGAATCTGTTGATCCGAGCATCGTGGTATCTGCCGCTCCAAGCTCCAGTGTCTCATCGTCTTCCAAGTCATAGGCAGATGACATGTCCCCCGTCTCCCGAGAGGGCTTGCGTGGTGGTTTCGCCCGCCTTATTTTTCCCTTCTCCTTGGGCTTCTTTGTGGGCGAGGCCTGGTCTCCTGATGGCGCACCGAATGACTTTGGAAGACGGAGTTTGGGACTGGGACGCTCCGGTATCTCGACTTTCGGCGGTATTTTAAATTGTGCGCTTGGTTTGGTGGATGAGGTGGGAGTTCGTTGCTTTTGAGCTGCTATATGATTCTTATTCGGAACCATGGGATCGGTTTTCGTCGCTGATGCTTTGGCCTTGCTTTTATATGCTGACTTGACCCGGTATCCTGCCGTTCGATTAAGAGTCCCCCATTGCTTCTCCATCATGGCGTCCATATCGGTGTTCAAGTGGCTCCCCAAATCCTTACTCTTATGTGTCTGTGTCTTTGGTTTCTTCTGAGGTTGATGGCCCTCGATGTCATCCTCGATCAGATCATCGTATGCTCGCTTACTACTAGCCGACGCACGCGTGTTCCTTTCGCCATTGCCAGATCCATCTCCTTCCGTACGAGATACAGCCTCGTCCTCAGATGTGGTAATCTTATCACCATTCGGAGCTGACGAAGCAGTCTTCTTTGTCTGTTGCCCTCGCATGAAGTCTGAGTGAATATCTCCCCTATGGGATAACGGGTTGTCGTCGTCGTCGTCGTCACTGCTGCTCATAGGAGGGTCATCATCGTTTGGTACTTTTTTAGACTTCGCGATGTCTCCGGTGACTGGATCGTGACCATTGTCGCTAGATGACTGAAACCTGAAGAAAGACATATTCTGAAGCTTCTTCACAGCCGAACAGTACTCCTCGTCACGTTGAGTTTTCGTAAACTGCGGAATAAACGTATCGCTGCTTTTCTCGGATACTGAACTGCCAATGCCGTTGGCTGACGCTCCCAATCTGGGGACCGGTACGTTCGCGGCCCGCGTATCTTCAGATAACACTTTCCCGTTCTCGGAACCCGCAGGCCTTCTAAAAGTCGATAGAAGCGATTGTTCAAGTGGTTGATTTCTACTCAGTCCAGCACGGCGTTGAGTTTGGACGTTGTTCATACCAACCATAACGATGGTGAGAAATCAGCGTCTTGCTGGTTCTGACGACCGTTTGTTCAAGAGTGGAAGCTGATTTTTGCAGAACTAGAGTTCTGGATCAACCAAGACCCGATGGTGGACCGTTCGGCGTCAACCTGGCCGCCGGAAAGCGCAAAGGGTTTTGCGATGGATAACAGAGGTGAATAAATGCTGGACGATTTCCGAGTGCATGGAGGAATGGCCCCTACATATAACCTTTGCCATGATCGTTAGTTTTATGGCTAGTGAAGCGAAGTGTCATGATACCTACCTACCAAACTTATGGGATTTCTGAATTGTTCACCTGCATCTCAGTTGGTATTCTTCGAATAGAAAACGCGACGATATTTCCCGGATGTTTCCCGGATACATCACGCATATGTCCCGACAAGGCATCAGTTGCGACTTGTGACCAGTCGAAGGACTGGATGGAGACGCTTCCTCTCTCCCGTCGTGTAATTGGCGGGGCCGTGGGCCGCTCCTGCCCCCTGTCAACGTGCATGATAGGCGGCGCAAACAGCACTATAGCTCCAGCGCATCACACCCGACTTGAACTTCCCGTCGTACCAAAGGTAGCTCCAGAACAACAAAAGCCAGAACACATTCGTGCACGAGAACGACAACCTGATCCGACGTCGATTCAGGCCAAATTCTCTTAGCAACAGGATCAACTTTCGAGAACCTCAGGACTTGTAGCGCATAGACCAATCGACACAGATGGCGTCCAGCCGAAAGTATGCTGCCCTGCCGGACCTGGTAAGCCCACCTACTACTGAAGCTCAGCAAAACGAACTGGTTGCTAACTACACCGCAACCAAGGATTCCGCGCCAGATATCTACGAAACACCAGAACTCACTGACGACAATTCCACAGTTCCGGTGAGCTGACTCACAGCTGTCCCATACGGCGCAAAACTGACCATGTCCCAAGCCTACAACTGTGAGGTCGCCCTCCGATAACGAGTTCGATGAGGAAGATGATGATTCCGCCGCCATCTCCCGGTCGCGTCTCCGGATCGATGAGGCCCGTTCGAGGTTCATGCCTGCTGCAGTAGACGCCAGCGATGTCGACTTCTCAGACCGGCTCAACAGCAAGAGAAAGTCCTACAAGACAGCAAGTCGGCGACAACGGATACTAGAGGATGGCACCGAGGAGCTTGGCGACCTAAGCGACGAGGATGACGCAGAAAATCTGGCGAGAAAGCTTGCACGACTAAAGCGCGAAATCGAGGAAGCTAAGGAGGAGTACGAGAAGCAGAAGGCAGCGTCAGAGCAACCCAAAGTAGATGCGGCGGGCCAGGACGAGGAGGAGCTTGAATCCCTGAGCAGGACCTTGGATGAGATGTCAAAGCTCGATGACCTGCTTGCGCCCAGGACTACTTCCGCAGGACCAACTAAGTCTGTTCGCATCGACGAGGGACCGCTAGAAGCAACAGAAGGCTCCGCGAGCTACACCGTCACCTATGCGCCAACCTACGAGGAAACACATGCGCTAGCAAAGGCAGCCGACTTTGACCACCGACTTGTCATTCTGGAGAAGGCCATGGGGGTTGGGTCCCCAGAGATGCCCGAGTTCGACTCGAACGGCCTGCCGAGAGCGATACTACCGATTCTGGAGACTCTCCACAGTCAAGTCAAGACCTTGTCCGAGGCGTCGACATCCTCGTTGGACAGCATCACCCGCAGAGTCCGTACCTTGGCACAGGAGGCCGAAAGTCTCGAGAAAGCTCGCAAAAATGCAAAGGCAGCTCAGGAGGCGCTTGCATCGACGGGTGCGACACCAGTGACAGATCCAACTGCGGCCGAGGACTCGGAGCTGACGACTAAGATCAACGCCCTATACGGAACCATCCCAACGATCGAGAACCTGACACCTCTACTGCCCCCTCTGCTAGACCGTCTAAGGTCTCTCAGGGTGATTCACGCCGATGCCGCCACAGCATCGGAGACGCTGTCACGTTTGGAAGCAAAGCAGGCCGATATGGCGGGTGATATTCAACAATGGAGGGAAGGCCTCGAAAAGGTTGAGACAGCCATGAAGGATGGAGACGCTGCCATGGTTAAGAACATGGACGTTATGTCGGGCTGGATTAAGGAGCTGGAGGCGAAGATGGCGAAGCTGAACTGAAGGCCATGGATGTCTGTTGCGCCCAAGTATGATACCCAATATCTAGGTGAAATGGCTATCGCGTACCTACTCCATGTCACTTGTCACTGCGAGAGCCCAACCAAACTCGGGCGCATCGCTGTGTGATCTTCTTCGAGACATGTGAGTATGCTGAAACCTGAGGTTGAAATGTGCAGCTTCAAGCACCTTTGGTAGGTCCATACATGATCACACCGGCGCACAAATATCAAGCAAGCTACCAATTGGTACTTGGAGATGAGAACCCTGACGACCCAAAGCTCCAAGGTTTCGTGGAGCTTCCATCTTCAATTGAAGATCCACTTAACAACCAATGAGGTGGGTCCTTGGCCGACGACACTTGGACCCACTCACGGCCATTGATAAAAGGTTGAGTTCTGCAATCAGCACAAAATTTTCCTCCTGCACACTCTTCTCCAAGTTCTCTGGCAGCGACTCCTCAACGCCTGGCTTCAGTTTCTCCAAGTGGAAGATGACGATGGTCTCGTGAAGACTGTTCCTGCCGAGACCCAATGGGCTCTTGCAAAGCTGTTATTATGCTTTGAGAAGTTGCTCTCGTCACTAGTGCGATCTACACGTGACGGAGACCAGTTCGACGATGCGCCGGTCTTGAAGCTCAGAATTTCCGAGCGAGATGACGCATTTCCTAACGGAACAACCACCAGCAAACCTTCAATTGGTAAGTTTACACTCCAAACCACTCCTCAATTGGTTTTCCTACACCACCGGCTCGGATGATGCATTAAATTATTTGCTACTCTGAAGTACATTGATGTCTCAATAATCACCAAGATCTCTGACTATCCAGCCACCAATCACTTCGTCTTGCATCTTCATGATCGCTTTGTGTTCAAGAAGGCTAACAGGATAAAAGTTTCGACAGGATCTGATCATCTGCGATAGCAAAGATGAGCGCGCCGAAGCCCCCAGCGGGGCACTTCAACATCCTTTACTTCGCAAGTGCTAGCTCCCACACGGGCAAGGATATGGAAGCTCTGCCGGCGCCGCTGCCCTTGCGGAAACTCTTCGACACACTCGAGGAGCGGTACCAGGGTATTCGGGAAACGGTGCTTGATCACAGCCTGGTCACGATAAACTTAAGCTACGTGGACATGCCGAGCAGTGAGGATGAAGACGTTGTTATACAAGAGGGGGACGAGGTGGCCATCATTCCTCCTGTCAGCTCCGGTTGAGAGACGGCAATACGTATAGACTCTGTCCCTATGTACAAAGAAATAGAAATCAGTCTTTCAACTACAGAATATGTCCGTCTCGTGAAGCTTTCTATGCCCTCTTTCATGCGTGTTGTTATTAGAGAACGCCATCTGTTTCAACCCGGTCCGCAGATTCCATTCCAGAACCCCCTCCACACTGGAATGTGTGTTTGTGTCGCACACGGGAACGACGCCTTGCAAGACCATCATTCTCTTTTGAAATACACTGGCTGATTGGAATGATATCATTCCTCACAGGAGCAAAACGGTTGCGATCGGCCAGATGTCGGAATGTCCCCCCTCCTTCCGCTGTTCCCGTCGCTAACATAGCTGCCGCCCGCTGACACCTACCCCGCAATCACGGTCAACTGTACGCGAGCTGGAATGAGCTGTACCCAACGCTGCCGTAGTCACCAGTGGAGTAAACTGTTAGCAGGCCAACCCTCGTCTTACCTCCTTAATTGCTTGTCCACCGGGCGCCCCGTACGCTTCATATTACACCGGACCCGGCACCGCAAGGGGGTTATTATTGTAGTCCACCCCCCTCGTTGCTACCTTACCTCTCTACTTGTAAACAACATCACGAGAAGCTCAGATCATACGAGCCCAACTTCATCTTCGATACCCAAGACAAACAACCTCCCACTACCTTACGCAAACCACCTGTCAGCACATCTCGAAATCGAAAACCATGGCGTCGTCGCTCAGAGAGCTCGAGGCCGATCCGGCCCTTTACATCTACACCTCCCTGACGGCCGGCTCATCGCACATCGTGACGGCCACCTCCCGGCTCGAGACCATCCTACGAGCCAACCGCATCCCCTTCAAGGCCGTCGACATGGCCACAAACGACAAGGCGCGCATGCTCTGGAGTCGTCGTGCCGGGAAGGACCCTAACGGCCGTGTGCGCAAGCTGCCGGCTTTGGTTCAGGAGGGTTTCGTCGTGGGTGTAAGTTAGCTTCAGTGTCACACCACTCACACCACCACCACAAACCACCAACAACCTTCCCTTCCCAACCAGCCAAGCCAAGCTCCTATCTTTTTAGAGAAAGTGAACAACTTGGAATTAACTTTGTGACAAACAGGACATTGTTGAAATCGAAGAATGGAACGAATACGGCGAGCTCAAGCAACACGTCACCATCTTCCAAGACGAATTCACCCAGCCGCCCATCGGTTCCGTCCCTCCCAAGCCCAAGTACGGCAAGAAGAAGAAGAAGGCGGACGCGGACGCCTCCAGTGCTGCTGCTGAAGCGAGCGGTGGTGGTGGTGGCGCAACCACATCAAAAGCCAAGAACAAGAAGAGCGCGACAGAGTCCTCCTTCTCTGATGCTGGTGCTCAGAATCAGATGGCAGCGTCTTTGCCGATCCGTGCCCTAGCCGAAGAAGCCGCTGCGAAGGCCAAGGAGAAGGTAGCAGCTGCGGCAAAGGCTGCGACGAAGGCTGTCAGCAGCAGTAGCAGTGCGGTGGAGACGAAACAGGAGGATAAGGAGAAGGAGGAGGATACCAAGAAAGACGACGACGACGACAAGAAGGTGGAGGGGGAGAAGGAGATGGAGATGGAGAAAGAAGCCGAAAAGCCAGCAGCAACAGCAACAGCAACAGCAGCAGCACTAGCACCATCCGCGACCATCGAGCCCGCTGCTGCTGCTACTTCCGCAAGCAAGACCCCCAAAGCGGCGACGGTAGAAGAAGAAGGAGAGGACTTAGAGGCTGGGAAGAAGGCCACACCAAACCCAACAAGCAAAAGCGAAAAGGAGCCAGCAGCAGCAGCAGCAACAAAAGTAGAAGACCCGGCAACGACGAAACCAGCAACAGCAGAACCCTCGACCTCCACAACAACCACAACCAAACCGATCCCAATCCCAACTCCCAGTTCTCCCGCAGCTGCTTCTTCTCATCAACCTCCAATTCCAGCGGCGGCATTCGGTCTCCAATCACCCACCTCAGGCGGGTGGAAGGACGACAGCGGGGCGTTCCGGACGGTGCAGTCGCCTACGTCGACAACGTGGCAGCCGACGGACGTGGACGCGCCGATCACCTCGTTGCAGGGCGCGCTGATAACTAGTGCGTCGGAGGAGGAGATTAAGGAGATTGAGAGGGCGCAGACGATCAAGGAGGTTCCTGATGAGGAGGTTGAGGAGTAGTAGGTGTACCTACGTAGGAAGGGAGGGTTGTAGGTGACTCGATAATCAAACTAAGTCAATCAAGTATAATATTATTCTGTTGATATCCAGTCGGTAGAGTAGCGCAGATAAGTCATAAGAAACCACTCACATACATACATCTACATCTAGTACACGGCTCCTGGCGAATGGCCGTGAGAGCTCAAATGTTCTCCATCATCGTCTATGGTTGTCTGCTTATTTACTTTGGTCCTTCCTCCGTTTAATGCACACCCCCCTATTTTCTATAGATATATATCCAAAAAGGTAGTTTAGGTAGTGTAGTGTAGTCCCATTCCGTCTCTTATTACGTACATGCCTCTTTCTTCCCATGCTATACAAAATCATACCTATAGGTATCTCATTCCCCGACCCCTAATCACTACCCGCCTGAACCTAGTCATACAACCCCTCATCCTCATCCCCTCCCGCCTCCTGGAAAGGCGAGACAACCTCCTTGCCCTTGCCCTTGCCCTTACCACTGACTTCATGATCCACCGCCTTTCCCTTTCCCTTGCGGTCCTTCTTCGATCCACCATTCGATCCGACATCATCTTCATCTCCCATAGTGATAGCCAGCGTACCATTGTTCCCGTTCTCCCCATGTCCATTAATCCCATTTGTCTCCCCCTCCTTCTTTTTGTCTTTAGTCCCCTCAAACATAGCCCTAACCTGCTCATAATGCTCCAGTTCACCCGCGCTCACCGACGGAATCAGTTCCTTATGGGCATCTAAAAAGTCTTGCTCGGTGACCATGACGGAAATATCCTCCTTGGTGGCGTAGTGGTCGAAGAAGTAAGCGGTCGACACCTGCTTGCCCTCAGGCCCGGCGGCCGCGTTGAGTTCTTTGATCTTGGTGTCGACGAGCGTGGCCTGGCGCGTGACGGCCTTGAGCATGGCGTCGGAGCAGAGGGCATAGAAGTCGGCGCCCGTGTAGGTGAAGGGGAGACACTCGGCGACGGCGCGGAGGGAGACGGTTGGGTGGAGGGTGAACCTTTGGAGGAGTAATGCGTTAGTTAGGTTTTGAGAGGGGGGTGGTGGGAGGGGAAAACGGGAGAGAAAGGGAAAGAAGATAATACGTACTTCCTAGTCAAAGCCTCCATGATAGTCACCTGCTTGTCGTGCGTGTCCGAGACACCCAGGTACAGCATCTTGTCGAAGCGACCGGGTCTCAGCAGCGCCTGATCCAACAGATCAGGTCTGTTGGTCGCACCAATGACGAACACGCCGCCTCCACCTTCGCCGCCCGACATGCCGTCGAGCTCAGCCAGCAACTGCGATACGATACGGTCCATGACACCACCGCTGTCGCCCTGGTTACCTCTTTTGGGCGCGACGGAATCCAACTCGTCGAAGAAGACGACGCAAGGGCGGGCGTCGCGAGCACGCTGGAACACCCTCCGCACGTTGGCTTCGGACTCACCAATGTACATGTTCAGCAGCTCGGGACCCTTGACGGAGAAGAAGTTGAGGCTGTACTCGGTGGCGATGGCCTTGGCCAGCAGCGTCTTGCCGGTACCGGGAGGTCCGTAGAACAAGATGCCGGAGCGCTTCTTCATGCCCTTGGCGAACAGCTCGGGGCGCTCGAGCGGCAGCTGGATGGTCTCCGTGATGGCGTCCTTGACGTTGCCGAGACCACCGACGTCGTCCCATGTGACGTTGGGGATCTTGGGGGCGCCGATGGAATCGGCAAAGTTCTTGCGGGCGGCGTCAACGGCGAGTTCGAAATCCTGCTTGGTGAGACCGGAGGCGGCAGGGCCACCGGCGAGCTGGACGTCACGGAAGGTGATGCTGCCCGTTGACTTGGCGGTGAGCTTCTCGAGGCGGGATCGCTGGGCAACCAAAGCACGGTCAACAACATCAACGAGATCGCCTGCTACGAGAGCGGCGGTCTTGAGTGCGATGCCGCTGAGATCCACCTCGGGGTCAAGACCGATGCCGCGGTCGGCGAGGATGGAGCTGAGGATACCCTCTCTCTCTTGCTCGTCGGGAGCATTCATCTCCAACTCATGGGTAAAGAGGGCACGGATGCCGTCCGGGATCTTCTCGACCTCGGTGGTGGTGGCAATCAAAACCCTAGCGTCGGCCAAGATCTCCTTGATGGAAGAAACCATGCGGTCGGCAGTGAGGGCTTCAATGTGGTGGACCAGGAGGACGCATGATTCGGGGCCGCAGCTCATGGCACGTTCGGCACGCGATGTTAGGAAACCGGCAGTCTTGACATCGCTGCCACCTCCGCCGCCGCCATCGTTTACAATGTCATAAGCGTCTATGGCGAACGTGTGCAGGCCAATGTCTGAACAGGCTTGCGTGGCTGTGGCTGCCTTGCCGATGTGCCTCTGCGTCGAGACAAGGAGGATGGCCAGCGGTGGCAGGTTAAGATGGAGCGCTGGTTTGCTGGTGGCGGCAGCCATGAGTTCTCGGAGTTTTCTCCTGAGTGATGAGACATATTGCTTCTCGGGCTCTAGCGTTTGCAGCTGAGCAGGTGACCCGGGGCTTTGGTTGTGCTTGGGAAGCTTCTTGATACCCAGGTAGTACTGCCAGCTGTTTGATATCGTGCCCGGGACGCGGCCTGTGACGGATCCTGTTTGTTCCAGGTGCGTGAGGGAGATGTCTACACAGGCAATTCCGCCCCATGGGTCCTCTTCCTCTTCGCCGTCAACGGTTTCTGTGACATCTTGCTTCAGGGCCTGAACGTGGCCAACCCTGAACCAGGCAACATCATCGTAATGAAGGCTCTGTCCGGGCCGTGTTGCGGCGATCAAACCCAGAACCTCATCGATGGCGGAATCCTCGCCAGGGATTGTACTCTCTTGAAGAGCCTTGCCCAACTGGGTGTCAATGGGCACAGCAATAAGATCCCCAGTCTTGAGAACCCGCAGCCTCCTTGCAAAATAGTGTTTCAGGCCAGCCATGACAGCAGACTGCACGTCCCTCTCGACTGCCGTGGGCGTCCTCACGTGTTGCAGGATCACCTCACGAGCAAATGGTGGCTTCAAGGCTGAGCTGGTCTTGGACTGGGCTGCGACGCCCTTCATTATGGGGTTCGAAGGGCGCTTGATTGGTGATAGACGAAGATACGGAGGGTTGTCCAAGTTTGCGAGCAAAATAGGAGAGGTATAAACCGGTGGGCTCGCCTTTTGTGACTGCGCCTCAAAGAAGGACGAGTTCCGACTATCACTCCTAGAGTGGTGTATCCTGGTCGCCGAGCGGCTCGAGTAACCTTCAGGCAAACCGAAAACCTTCGCGGTTCTCCAGTTGGTCTCGTCTGCTTCTTGTGCCACAAAGCTTCCCAGGCCAAACGCGCCGAGCCCGTTGGAGGGAGGTTCGGAGGCGGCCTCAACTCGTACCCAGTCTCCAGAGAAGCAGCCCACCCTGGTAAGGTCCCTCATATCAACATAGATGCGCGCTTCTTCGTCGTCCTCGGGCGTAGGTTTGGGGTGGAGAAGCTCAGGCGGGATAGGCTTCATCAGTCCCTGCGCCTTGAACAGCCGGCCACGAGGCCGGTCTGGTCTGGCGGTGGTGGCAGTATAACTAGAGATAACTGATCCAGGGCCGTTGGTCTTCCTGCCCCTGACCGTCATAGGGGTGCCCGTTCCTATTGTAGATTGGCCGGTGACCGTAGTGGGCAGGGTGGGGGCTTGAAGGGATATCATTTCGTCCATGGAGTCGTCTGATAGATTATCCTCCTCTTCCCCAACCTGTGGCTCGAATTCGGTATCGTCTGCGTCTGTTTCGGCCGTTTGGCCATCGGTTTTGCCATCGCGTTCGTCCTCGGCCGCCGAAAAGTAGGCATCTTCGTCATCTTCGGTTACTCCGTTCAGTTTGCGGCCCTGTTGCTGTGTTGGCGCAGAGTTGCGCTTGCTCTTGCTTGTGCGCGTTCTCGTCACGATAATCTTTGTGGCAGGGGCGAGAAGACCCTGTGCCACAGGTTCGCAAAGCGTTATCCTTCCCGGGGCCGGAGGCTGGTGGGTAACTGGGTGAGGCGGTAGTGGCAACGGGAAGAGATCCCCAGAGTGGACAATCTTCAAGGTGCCAAGGGCAGTGCGCAGAGCAGCTGTCAAGTGCTCCTCAGGAGTAGCATCGGCGCGGGCCTTGCCCTTCCCGTTGACGGGATGTTCACGGAAGAAGGTACCCTCCCCATTCTCCAGTCTCTTGGCCAGTTCCCCATCGAGGCTTACGAAGACAGTATCCAGCTCAATGGCCGAGACATCCAAGATCAGGATCTCAATGCCACCCTTGTTATGACCGGAAAGCTTCGAGGGCGCAACCTGCTGGAGGTGTGTCGCGAAAGACTGGAGGGCGAGCGACGAGGGCGATAACTGTACGGTGGACGGCGCAACGGTGGAAGATCGTGTGACGGGTATAATAGACCAGTTGTTGGCCTCGGGGGTCTGGCTCGGTGCCCAGGGAGCAATTGCGACATGAACGGTGTCCTGGCTATCTCCATCTGTTAAGGCAGAAAGAATGACCGGTTAGTCGGAGCTCATGATACAAAGACAGAATGACACCGCAATAGGGGCAAACATGTTACATACTAGCCCAGAGATGGGGGAAGAGGTCGGCGAAGAGGTCGGTAGCAATAACACCGACGTCGCCCTTGACATGGGCATCAAGGACCAATTTGGCCGTCAAGGCGGGCTTGTCCTGTCTGCGTCTTCGGACCCTTTTCCTGTTCGCGGCAGGGGTCGAGTTGGGACGGCCATTGTAGAGGTGCGTCGGTGTTGGTGTAAGACAGAGGCACGGCAGCAAATTGGAGCCGGTGCTCAGGACTTGATATTCGGAGATGGAGTGGCTGGTTCGGCCGCAAAGTGGTAGTCGTCGGCTCCGGAGAGTAAGGTGTTGTGGCTCGGGTCGGTAGTCAGGCAGGTACAATTATTATTTACAGACCATGCCGGTCAAAGTCCCCCACAACCAGAGTGACACTGTAGACTGCCGTGTACCTACACCGCGGAAGTGATTTGGAGTTCAGCTGCAACGAAACACGGCGGAGACGATGCCGAAGCGGAACAGAAGCCAGGGGGCGCGTGGCAACCCGGAACTGAGTGGCTTGAAAGGGGAATTGCGATTTGGAGTACAGCCCGTTGATTCCAGAAGAGATGGCGCCGCAAACACCAAAAGAATTATCAGAGAGAGGAGATGCTGTTCCGTTCGCTACATGTTCGGTTCGGTTGATCCCCAAAATGGCCAAACAGCGCGGTCATTCGCTGGACTCTGTCTTCCCCTGCCACTCCCCGGCCATTCCCCGTCTTCAGCTTCGGCTCCTCCCTCCTCTTTGGCCGAGGCACATGGACGGCGGCCCGTACAGCGGTAAGGAGCTGTTACGTAAAACCGGGGTTAGGGTTTTGTTAGGGTTGGAGATGGTAGTAATCCCAATTAAGCTTGCATCTTCAACCAGGAATTGAAATTCGTCGACTACCATAAGTATTAGCAGTAGATCATATAACACCAAAAAACAGCCAAGGGATCACTGCCTCGAGTTCGAATCTGTTTCCGGTAAATTCATGGGAGCCACTTCGATTGGAATCTGAAGAGCGAAAAATGCAATGAAGAGCTGAACTGATCTCGGCTGAAGTGCCTGGAATTGGATGAAAGCGGCACCAACTCCCAAGTCCACTGCACTGTAGTGTATGGAGATCCGCTCATGTTCGGGCAACTTTCGTCTACAATTTCATTTCTATTTTAAAAATCACCTCAATCGTTCTCGCCACAGATGAGCCGTTAGGGGTCTCTGAAGCCAAGATGTTCTAACCTCATGCTAAGCTTTTTGACTTTCTCCAAGTTGAAGACGAAAGCGTTGATGATGTTCCTCCTTGTGGTGCCTTGACTTGTCAGGGTTCACTTGGCGTAGAATGGCATGGCGCTCCCAGCAAGTTGCATCTCCACATTTCTCACATGTCTCGCCCATGTCATCCCCACATTGCCGCCCACAGCTGCAGTGTGACGCACTTTTCAACATTTGGGCACTTTCCAGACTTTCCGGGCTTTTGGGTTTGGGAACGTGGACTTTGGGGATCATTCAATTGGATGTCCTGTTTCTAGATAAAGAAGCATAGTATCACTCACCCTTGAGTCTGTTTTCTGGCGATACCGTCGAACCCAAGTAGATGGCTGGCCTGTCTATAGAATACACTACTAAGTGGCATCATCTCGAGAAGACATTGAAGACCGGGGGAAGAATCTCGATTGATGATTTCAACTTTTCTATCAGCATCGAGTGATGTGACGGAATTGCAGGATGGTGTCCATCTTCAATTGTTTTGTTTCAATTTTCCCGGAAACGACGGACCCTCTTGCCAATACAAAACCGGCTTCGTGTCACAGGCTATGGCCGTCAAGTTACTGTTACGTCCTCATCGTACAAAACCCTAACCCTCTTCATCACTTACACTGTGCTTCGCCTCAAAGCTTCCCCATTCCAGGTCGAACCCGGTTTCCATCATGACGTTGATGGCGCAACACTCGGACGGCGCGACACGGAAGTCTCAAGTACTCCTTCTGCGGTTACACTAGAGAAATATATGAGTTGTCTGTTTACCTTTCTTCAACAACAATCCTTTCCTTGTCTGGTCTAACCCAATAATCAACTTCAAGTTTTTTCGCTTCTTCTTTTTATTGCCTGGGACGGTCCTATATCGTTGAGCACCCAGCACTTATCCGGTGCAGGACCATGTCATTATACCTTTCTCTTATTTTCAAGGAACTTTTGGACAAGTGAACAACAACTTCAGCAGCGTTTGGTCAAATATCGAAACCGAAATCCCCCAATCCGCCATGTCCGTCGGGGTAAACGAGCTGCCCTGTGAGGGCTCATCTGAGGAAGCAGCAGTCGAGTTTGCCCATCAATCAGAGAAGCTGTCCTACCAGCCGCCAGATAGCCCGGACAACAAAGGCGTCGCCGTCGAAGCCATCTTTGTTGCACCCCAGGACCCCGTCATCGTCACATCGGATGGAAACCGATTACCCGCTGTTCCGGCCATCGAAGCTTACAAGCTTAACGTGCTCAAGGAAGAAGCTGAAAGACAAGATGGAGTTAGGATACACGTCAGGGAAGCCAGTCGGCCGCGCGATACGGTCAAGGAAACGGAGGATTCGGAAGGAGACAGGGTTCTCAGCTTTCCCCGCGAGGAGGATGAGAAGAAACGCAACACTTCGGACTCGACCGACGGCAACCTCAAGAGGTCGATGCCTCCTTCCCATACGCACCCTCTTTTCCCACCATTACCGCTCTACGGCCCGTCGTCGCGCTGGCGAGACATACACTGTTTGCTGTTCCGCTTCACCTCCTTCTTCCTCAGTCTGGCATTCCTGGGCGTCATTGTCCTAGGCTCCCTCTTTACCAGCATAGGACCCGCATTCCAGTACATGTGGAAGCGGCTGGATAACAAGGATCCAGACGCCGACCGGCCATTCTACAAGGAAGAGAAAAGACGGCAACAATTGCGAGAGCAACAAGTCCGCAGATGGAGGCGCTGGAGGTCGGCGAGCCACCTCGACCACGAAGACGGTGAAGACAACGACGAAGGCGATAGTGACGTCAAGGCCGTTGGCCCCGACCCCATTGTGTGCGACGTAGGCTTCTATGCCCGCCGTGTCGGGCTCGATGCCGAGACTCATCTTGTTGAAACCGAAGATGGGTTCATCATTGAGCTTTGGCATGTGTACGATCCCGAAGAATACACTCCACTGCCAGAAGAGGAGCGGCGACACAAGGGTCCCGACCTGTTCACCGGCGAGACCAGGAGGAAACCAGGACAAACCAAGAACAACAAGAAGCCCAAGTTCCCCGTTCTTCTTATGCACGGCCTCCTTCAATCCTCAGGCGCCTACTGCGTCAACGATGAGGACTCGCTTGCCTTCTATCTCTGCAAGTCCGGCTACGACGTCTGGCTCGGCAACAACCGATGCGGCTTCAAGCCGCGCCACGTCTTGCTCGAGTATTCGGATCCACGCATGTGGTGCTGGAACATCCGTCAGATGGGCGTCTTTGACCTGCCCGCCCTGACCTCGCGTGTCTTGTACGAGACCGGCTTCGAGAAAGCCGGACTGATTGCCCACTCCCAGGGCACCACGCAGACGTTTGTCGCTTTAGCCAAGGAACAGCGACCGGATCTGGGTGAGAAGCTTACCGTCTTTTGCGCCCTCGCGCCGGCGGCCTATGCAGGCCCGTTGATCGGCAAAATGTATTTCAAGTTCATGCGCGTCATCACCCCTGCCATGTTCCGCATGTTATTCGGCATCCATGCCTTCATCCCCTTCATGATGACGATGCACTCCCTCCTCCACCCGCGCGTCTACGGCTGGCTCGGGTACAAGGTCTTCTCGTTCTTGTTCAACTGGACCGACCGTCGCTGGGACCGGGGCCTCAAGAACAGAATGTTCCAATTCGCACCCGTCTACGCCAGTGCTGAGTCTATGCGCTGGTGGCTGGGCAGGGAGTGTTTTGCTAAGCACAAGTGTATCCTGGCCACCAAGGAGGAATGGAAGGCAGAGGAGAAGGAAGATCGCGAACTGGCTAAGCATGATAAGGAGGAGAGAAATCGTAACGAGAAAAAGGCGGACAAGATTCTCAAGGCCGCAGAGCGCGATATCGAGGGTAATAAAGAGTCGAAGGAGAAGTCGAAGGAGAAGTCGAAGGCTACGGCTCGTAAGATGAGACCTAAAGGCTCAAGGGCCTGGTACAACCACCAAGCACCGCCCTTCGCTATGTGGGTGTGCGGCAACGACGCCCTGGTGGACGGAGACAAACTCCTCAGGAGGTTCGATCGCGGACGTGAGCCACATGTGAAGGTGGTTCACAAGAAGGTCATTGACGAGTATGAACATCTGGACGTCATCTGGGCGATGGATGCGGTGGACCAGGTGTTCAAGGAGATCAGGGAGGTGTTGTGGAAGACCTGCAATGCCAGAGATATGTGCCGTGTTCCCGAGGGTTGCGAAGACGTACCGGCTTGGAATCCGGCTGGAAGTGAAGATACCAAAAAGGAGGAGAATGATGATGGGATGGAGTCGGATTCCAGCAGCAGTGGCGATGAAGATGAGTCTTCGTAGACTGGGGACTTGTACAAGCTGCTGCTGTCAGATGGTTATATGATGATACCCTGGAAGTTTGCTTACTGCCATTGGGCGGTGATGCAAAAGCAATGGGAGGGATGCTGTGCGTCGATATTGGATTCGGGAAAAGGATAGGAGTTACAGGATACGTACTACGGCTTATACACGTGGCTAGGATAGATAAGATCTGCTTTTAATCAGTATAACTTAGTTAATCAATCATCAGGCATCTCTTTTCTTCTAGTGTAAACCATCTTCCCCTCGACAGATGGGAGATGCCGATGGCTTTGAGTGGTTCTGGCCGCTTGGTTTGTTGCGGGGCGTCAGACGGCGGCAAAATCTGCCTAGCGCAGGAACAACATTTCGAGATGCCGCAAATAAACGCGAGGCATGTGAAGGTGATTCGGGTGAAACCAGGGTTTCCTGGGCGATACCTGAGGGCAAGTCTCCTAAGAGGAGGGTGTTGCAAAAGTACAATTCAGAAGACTTTGGATCACGACAGTGAAAATACGATTTGAAGCAAGACATCACGGAGTTACACAACAAGGAAGCCTGTCACGAAAACGGATTGATGCCAAGAACAATACATTTTATCCGAGAACCTTCTTGGCAAACCTTGACACCCACTGGAGGAGTTGCGAGAGTTGTAGTGTAACCTCACTTTTTCCGAGCAAGCAGTAAAAATGGGAGCGGCAGGTTCCCGCTTATTGCTGGCTTGACTTTTCAACGATGTAAGTCACAACGACGACAATGTAAGGGATGGAAGGTGGTGCAGACAAAAGGCTGTCGATGCCCATATACTTCTACAACAGCGACAAACTCAGAAATTCCAGAAAATAGGGTGTAAGACGGTGTTTTGAGGTTGCAAGTGCTAAGATTCTACAAGCGTGCAACAAGCGGCAACCTGTCGCTCCCATTTTTAGTGGCACCTAAGGATCAAACGGATGCCGAACGCCGACTTACCTGATTGAGGTTAAGTGTCGGGTTCAACCAGCCAATGCGCAATTCTGCCGAGAGATCAATACTAGCCGCTAGTCTATTCTAGGAATTATAGAAATATTGCCAAGAAGGCCACATGCCCCTGGGGCACACGACAGATCCAGATCCCGCGACCCCTTGACTTCAGTTTCCCCCTCCGTTCTTTCCTGGGAGGGAAGAGGAGCGGAAGGAACTACTTAAAGAGAGTGATGGAAAGAGAGGCTGAGAGAGGACCATAAAACCTTGAGACAGAAGTGAAGGGACGACACTGAGACCCTTTTTTTTCTGATCTGTCGGCTGAAGTGAAGTTGAGGAGGATGGACTTCGGGTCAGTCACACAAGAACCTCCTTCTTTAACCTTTTTGTAAACTTCCACTGCTTGGCGACGACCTGGATCTGTGGTTGTACCGTCTTCCCTTCGAGTTCACGTTCACCATTTCCAGATGGTGCTACGGACCTAGCTTTTTTCGGTCTAATCTCTTAGGCGGCCAACAGCCGGTTGATGGGAAAGAAGCATCTGCTGCTTACCGCTTGAAGATCATCAGTCTTCAAAAATCATCGCGGCCGCGCAACTTGAAGTTGGCAGTTTCGGTCGGACCAACGCCAGGGTGCCAGACAGGCCGACAGAAAGCTCCGGCTCGAAGAAGACGCCTGAAAACATGGCGTTTTCACAAGCTTTCAGCTCACGGCGTGGGCGTATCTTTGCCCTCACGGCCTTCTTGGCCCTTGTCATTCTTCTCGTGGGATATCAAACAGCCTCACCATTGTCTATCTACCGGCAGGACCCGGTGGTTCTTAAACAACCCGAGCATCAGGAGACGGGCAGCAAAGCAGGTCATGGTGATTTGACACCACCGCCGCTGGAGACATGGAACCATCACGAACAACAAGATACCGGCGGCGTCCCCGCCAACCACGACGATGTCTCTCTGAATCCTCCCACGACACCTTCTGGGGAAGAAGAAGACATCGATCTGGGCTTGGGAATGGGCTTGGGAACAGGGACTGTCGATGTGGGTGGTGAGGAGCAAGCCAACGGTCCGGACGAGACTCTGGAGGTTTCCCCGGTTACTTCGTCGACTCCAGCCGAGGGCGAGGAGGAATGTGTACGCTTCGAACAGCTCCAGCGCAAGAAACCTGGTCCCCTATCTGCCGGCAAGCGCCAGTTCCCTTATGTGCGCCCGCCACCACACTGCCGGACCTTCCAACTTCCCGCTCTTGAAAAGCTCATCGAGCGCATGAGAACCGTGATCAAAGACCCTGATCTCTTCCGCCTTTTTGAGAACAGCTACCCCAACACCCTCGATACCATGATCAAGTGGCACGGCTACGCCAGGAATAACTCTCCCTGGGATACCAACACGGGGACCTACTCCAAGTCGCTCGCTGCCTTCATGGCCACACCCGATGGTGTTGAACAACAAGAAGAAGTTGACAACCCAGAAACAGACGAAGAACTAACCTACATCATCACCGGCGACATCGACGCCATGTGGCTCCGCGACTCCGCCTCGCAGCTCTACTCCTACCTGCCCTTCCTCACCCCCTCCACCTCCAAGGATTCTCTCGCCAGCCTGTGGCGGGGACTCATCAACTCGCACGCCCGCTACATTGTCATCTCGCCCTACTGCCACTCTTTCCAGCCGCCTCCCGAATCCGGCATCCCGCCCACGCATAACGGCGCTTACAACCAGAACAACCCGCAACCGCCCTACGACCCGCAAAAGGTGTTTGACTGCAAATGGGAGCTCGACAGCCTGGCTTCTTTCCTGCAGATCAGCAGCGCTTACCACGCGAAAGTTCCCAAGGACTTGGCCTTTTTTGGCAAGTACAAATGGATCGAGGCCGTGCAAGCGGCCGTCGACGCCGCGGCCGCAATGAGGCTGGGGACGTATGATGAGGAAGGAAAAGTATTGCCTTCGGCGTGGACGTTCACGGGTTGGACGAACAGAGGCAGCGAGACGCTGACGAATGATGGGCTGGGCAATCCCGTCAAAGAAAACGGTATGGTTCGGAGCGGATTCCGCCCCAGCGACGACGCCTGTATTTTCCAGCTGTTGACGCCGAGCAACATGATGTTTGCGGCATATTTGGAGCAGGCGAGCGTGATTATGGAAGGACTCTCGTCTCTCGACGGGCTCGACCAAGCAAAAAAGACGATGGCGAAGAATATGACGGCACGGATGCGTGATCTTGCCAGGGGAATCAGATATGGAATCGCCCAGGACGCGGTGGTTACTCATCGCGAGTTCGGCGAGATATTTGCGTATGAGGTGGATGGGTACGGAAGCGCGAATTTGATGGATGACGCGAACGTCCCGTCGCTGCTGGCGTTTCCGTTGTGGAATTATACCCATCCGCCGCCGTCGCTTGGAGACCACGACCACGAGCAAACAAAGACTATGGTCAAGTCTACCCACGGCGGAAGCAAAACCCCAAGCCGCTCTTCAGACTCAACCCAAGTCCAACCACCCTCCGTCGATGATGAGACCGAACTTCCCCCCGCTTCCCCTCCACCTCCTCCCAAGCCATACACCACAACCCCCCTACCATCCCACAACTACTCCGCCATCTACCAAAACACCCGGCGCTTCATTCTCTCCCTCTCCAACCCCTACTTCGCCAAGGGGCCCGCCCTATCAGCCGTCGGCGGCCCCCACCTCGGTCCCGGAAAGGGCTGGCCGATGGCCGCCACCGTCGCGGCATTGACGGCCTACAACTTGGACCTCTCCGGCCTGTCGTCAGGATCGAAAGAGCAAGAAAGGGCGGTGGAGGAGCAGCTGAAGATGATATTGGACTCGACGAGCGGGACGGGGGTGGTGCATGAGACGGTGAACGCGTGGAACGAGAAGGATTGGACGCGGAGCTGGTTTGGATGGGCGAATGGGTTGTTCGGGGAGTTGATTATGAGGATAGCGGAGGAGGAGGCGGGGCGGGAGGTGAAGTGGGAAGAGGGGGAGGGGTTGTTGGGGAGGTCGTGGCAGTGATGTGTGCTTGTGTACTATTCTCTTTATGAGATATAGTGGTTTCCTCTTTTTGAACGTGCGAGGGATGAACTGTTGGTTAAATACATGGACGCGAGCATGTCTTTATTCTTCTGAACGTGCTCTAGGATGGAGTGAAAAGCATGTTTGGGCGTTGATGGCGGTGAAACCGATGACCCATTTGAAAAGTTAACTTGCAAGATCTCGGGGTCTTCTGGATACAACTACCCTAGGAGGGCATCTCGTGCTTGGAAGCCTCTTGCTTGATTCCTACTTTGATTTATTTTCCCCATGTCGGTACCCCAGTCCCGGCTGTACTCATACAAAAAGCCCTTGTTCCCATCTTCATATCTTTATGTTTGAACGCTCGGATTCAATACCATGTCAGTTTTTTTCTTAGCAAGAGGGACCCAATTTCAGTAATAAGCCCATCGATAACCATAATGCAATAACCATACGATCCATGAAAAAGCAACGCCATCGCTATGTAAACCATCATACTTATTAGAAGGAAGCCCAATTTTTTCTTCCTTCCGTTTTTACCCTTCGTAATCCGTGATAAGAGCGGCTGTCGTTGCTGCAGTCATCAGCTCACAATCCCTTGAACGTCGTGCCCACGATCTCCGCACCACAAATTGCCTTCTTCTCCTGCTCGTTCATGGCCGCGCTCCACAGCCTCAGGTCGTCCAGAGTAAGGTTCGCATTCGCCAGTTTTGTTTCCAGACTCCGAAGATCGATCCGGTTATGAGCGGTCAACAAGTCACCACCACCGACGATCGCATTTTTGAGGCCATTGGTGCCATCCTTTGCTTTTTCGTTCGACAAAATGGCAAAGCGCAGGAGCACCTCCGTGACGGTGACCATGATACTGATGACAATAAGGATAATGATGATCCAGGTGATGTAGCTCATCTTTGCGTCGGCCACGTGGTCGGACAGAATGCTGGCCAAGTCGAGGAAGACCTGGCAACGCTCGTTGAGAACCTTGGTGCGGGTTTCGATCTCGAGGTAGTCTCTGATGGCTTCGTATAACGGGCCGAGTGTGGGTTCCGAGTCCCAGAAGAAATTGGGCTTTTCGAGGATGTTCGATGCTAGAAGCGCGCGCCGGGATTAGTTTGAGCTCATACCGAAAAGCAAAGGGTCAATCAACTTACAAAGATTGATGTCTACACGACTCTTGAAGAGCTGTCCTAGGATCTTGAGAACTTCGGTCCTATCCATATCCAGCTTACCCGTAAGCGCAAGGGTCTTTGGTACGCCCTGAGCACCTTCCATCGTCTCCGACATGCGTTCCTCGAAGAAGCAGAGTTTGGTGCTTTGGGCAATGGCATGGCTGATGGTAAGCTTGACCATGTGGTCGGACCGAGGAAGAAGTGTGATCATGTCGTTGAAAACGCGAGGGCGTTCCACGTCGGCGCTGTACTCGAAGTGGAACTCCTCAGTCTCAAAGTCGTTCTGATCAAGGGGGCGAGTAGCAAGCGAAACACCCGTCTCGTTCTCGGCGAATGTTAAATCTGCCAGGATATCCTTCTCCTGGTGCTCTGTGAAGTTCCAAAATACTACTACGCCATACGAAAAGACGAACATTTCGCCAAACCGCTTAGCATCTGGTGCCAGGCGGTTTATGGGGCTGATTGGAGGGTGGTCCAGTGCCTTCTGATCTTGGTCTGACGAGGGAGCACCCATCTCGTCAACGCCACTGTGAGCATGCTGTAGTAATGTGCTCCCATTGCTTGGGCTGTCTGCTGATCCGTGCATATTGAACGGGTATTCATCCCAGTAACCCTCGTGCTCGTCTCTTCGCTCGCTGCGTTCGATTTCAAGATCTAGCACAGTCTTTCCCGTGCCTGGAGTCTTCAAGATAGGTCGACTCCGTAGCCGGTAACCATCTACACCAGGAAGCAGAGGCAGGTGATAAACCGTGTAAAGACAATCGTCGTAGAGCTTCGTCTTGGCTTCGTGCTTTTTCTTCAAAAACTCGGCTGTCGCTTTCATCTTGTAGGCTTGTGCTGTACAATAGGCAGTAAGTCGGGAAACCCTTTCGCCTCGCTGCACCTTGGGTAAACGCTCGGCGTAGCTTTTGCCACGAAGTCCTCCTCTCTTTCTCAAGACATCCAGCTCTTCGTCCTTTAATGGCCGGTTGTCATCTTCGGATGCACGCAGGATGGAGGCGCGCCGCTCCAGATCTTCATCGCCCAGCGCGTCCTCGTCGTCGGGGGCTTCGGGGAGAAGAACGAGCTTCTCGCTAACCTTAGTAGTCCTAGAAGGCACGATCTGTTGACCAGTTCGGAGAGAAGCATTCGGCAGTCCCGCGCCATGGCTACTACGACGGAGGGCAGCACGTGTTGGCCGCTGGCCGGGTGGCAGCCTGGGTAAGCCGGATGGAATATCTGATGAGTACTGCAAGACGTTGTCGACGGTGAAGGAGCGTCCATTCAAGAGGCGGCCGGGACCACCTGTAGAACCCATGCGCCGGGGCGCGCTGGGTGGTGAAGGTCGTTGGCGAGCATCTGTCACCTGTGTTGCGATGGTTGTCAGCCAATTGTCCAGTAAAAAAACAAGGGGTCAACGTACCAAAACAGAGGGTCCACGCTTTGCAGACGCCATGGTTGGTGGCGGCCCGGGGTTCTAGATAGTATCGCGCTTGAGGTTGAAAGTTGTAAAATAGAGACCCTGTCTCAGTCAGTCCCGATTGTTGGGACGTGTCTTGGTTCGCCTTCTTTCGGTGTACGGATTCGGAGTTGTGGAACGGCAGGTCAACGGTGGCCAGTTTCTGCGCTCGACGGCGGACTGGCGGTGTCTGCTGGCTATAAAAATGCGATGGATCGAGAAAGAGAGACACGGGGTCGGAGTAGTCGTCGGAAAATATTTGGATATCGTATTGAACCTGGAGGCCGGGTCGTAGTCCGTCCCGTATCGCCTGAATCCGACTTTCGGATTTGTCTGTTGTTGTTGACTGGTGATGGATTGACAGACAATGTTTCGGAAGTGGAAAACAAACGGTGGTGGAATCTTTCCCCATCCAGTGGATGTCCTGAAGACGCTAAAACAATGGGGCCAGAGCCCCCCGACGTCATCGCCGTTATTCACAGTAGCCCCACAACCTGGAACCCGTAGGGTACATAACCCCGCAAGCTACAGCACCTCTGCAGCCAAAGTTTCTCAAAGCTGTCCGTACAAGATGCCTCTGATGGGATGGGATAGGTTCAAGTGGAATTGTTAACATTCAACTGCTTCGAGGTCATCTGCAACTTTTTAAAGCGACCATACTTTTTTTATCGGCCGAGGGCGCCTGAGTGAAACTGCTACATAAGTGTCGTGTTTTGATATGTCTATAGCGACCGGTAAATCATCATTATCACTTCTCTGTAGATGCAAGAGACATTAAATTCATGTTGGATGCATGAACTGCTATTGCAGGACCGTCAAGAAACACCATCGTCTCTGGATCACATGCATATGGCTTGTGTACCTCTGTGGCTCAGTTCAAACTGTTGTAAATGAGAAGAATGTAATGTCCGATGAATTTACAGAAAGGTATTTAAGTTGACGATGCGTCATAAGTAAGGCATACATGTATCTGACACTGACTTTGAAGGAGCAAGCTGTCAAACGCACCGGCTGCGTTTCATCCCAACCCAGGCTTCCTCCATCTGAACTAAATCGCACACTTATTAGACGTACTTGTAGGTACCTGCATTTGCATGGCATTAAAAAACAGCCATACACCTCCTTCCTAGATCCTTTTATCTGGTGATAAATAGGTATTTGTTGAAATAAACAATACCATTGAAATGCAAATGGGGATATCAAACTCAGGCTCCAACGCCTGCCTTGTAGGTATGTAGCTTCCTTCTTCCATAACCGCCGCCACATGAAACCATCATCCAGGTCATGAATTTCCTCTCTTCTTCAACTTCAAAACTGCACATTATCATCGTTGCTGCCCTCGCCGTCCTCGCGCCTCATCACTTCCTCGCACCCAAATCATGACTTTAGCGATATTGCATTGGCTGGTTCGGTTCAGGAGCTTTCTGTCCCCAGCCTTGAGGCGGTACTCCTTGAGGCGGCACGCCGGATGGTTGCGGTTGTAATGGCACTCCTCGTGTACCATCTGCTCCCCGGCGCATTGCTTGGACGTCCTGTCTGTGTTCGAGTGGTTGTTGGAAGTTGCAAATGCGGCACGCGATGTCTTCGTACCCCTTGATCGAGAGAGGAATGACGGGCTGTAAGTTTGTTGTTCAACGTTAGCTTCAGCTCTCGGTAGTAATGAAATTCGCCGCAAGAGAAACACAACACCACCACGTACAACGAAGCAGAAAGTGAACCAAGGATGGCTCTTGATGACACTGCCAGAATAGTTGCCGCAGTTGTAGCACCGGCACACGAGTCCTTCGTATCCTTCAACTTCCTTGCGGAAGGTGTGCTCGCCGCACGTGAAAATCAAACACATGATGCCGGAGGTCCTGGTGTGTAATTATCGACGGTTTTGTGTAGCTAACGCGCGGGAAGTGGTGAAAGTTTGACGATTTTGAGTAACAATGCGAACCACAATCCGTAGTGAAGATATTAAACAAGCAGGGGCAACGGGTATAAATGATTGATGAATGAAATGGGCAGCTAATAGGGCGTAGTGTAGTTCTCGACGCGCTATTGATTACTGGGTGGAATGCGGCGCAGCGGACGGGGTTGATAACCGATCTAGGCTAGGGAGTGGATGTTCGGTACTTGGCTCGTTTGGTACTTGGTTGTTGAGAGAAAGAAAGACGCCCAAGATTGTGTCCAAAGAAGCTCCCGTTTGGTATTCCTCTCGGCGATGACAAAAAGTGAGTAAGCTGGAACCTTGGGTGGCCGTCAGAAGGAGGCGGAGGCGGATTTGCGCGTCGTCTTCTGGACCGGTTGGCCGAAGGACTCAGGGTGCTAGGTAGAGGTACCATGGAATGCGACGCTGCAATACCGTCCTCTGACAGTGATCTTCCTGCTGCCGTGGAGATGAATGAATGCGAATGCGATGCCCGCCCTTGTGCGTGGGATCAATCGCACACTTCGATTCGCTGATGGACGCCGGAGTTGGAATGAGCGATCAAGTGCCCGCTGGGAACAGACGGAATCTGCAGTGGAAACGCACTTTCCCCCGCGACCCGCGCTGAGCTGCCCTGAGCTGCCCCAGAACTGCCCTGAAATACAGGTGGTCAAAGCGCCCAATGGCCCCACCAACCATACGCGGTGGGGGCCGACATGCATGTTCGAGACGTGGATCTGGAGCTTCTTCCAAATCTTAAAAAAATATTCGACATCAACTTTGACGAGACTTCAGCACCCTCAGCAGTCCAACTTGACCCAGGTCACGGCCACACAAACCGATAATAGCACTCTGTGGATTTCCAATTATATATACGGCCGTATTATCCTAATCCGCACGGCAGAAAAGTCTCAATCCCGAAGTCTCGCCGACCGAAAGAAGACGCGACAAGACGAGCTGTAGCCTATCGCAAATTCCAATCTCTAAGAGAAGAGAAGAGCAGACAAGAACACAGCCATGCTCTACGACCTCAATATTGCCTGGTCACCAACGACCCCATCCTCAGAGCTCGAGTGTACCCTCAAGTTCGCCAAAACCCTAGGTTACGATGTCGTCGCCTTGAACCAGACCATCACGGGCAATATCCCAACACAACCGCATCCGATCAGCAACCCAATCCCGCAAATCACATCACCACACCCATCGTTTCCCGGCGGTGGCAGCAGTTTGGCAACAAACAGCACAACAACCGCACGAACACCAACAGCAACGACAACGAACCTTTCAACTACCGCCTCCTCCGCCGTCCCGCCCACCACCTCCTCCTCCCTCCCCACCGTCCTCCGCCGCGTAACCCTAACCGTCACCGACCCCTCCACAACCAACTACCGCCTCGCCGACTTTGCCCGCTCCTACGACCTCCTCGCCCTCCGCCCGACAAACGACAAGGCATTCAGCTGGGCGTGCCTCAGCACCACGGAGCCGCCGGCCATCATCAGCCTCGACCTGACGCAGTTCCTCGGCTTCCACATCCACCACCGCACCGCCATGGCGGCCGTGCACCGCGGCACGCGCTTCGAGATCTGCTACAGCCAGGCGTTTGCGTCGGGTAGCAGTGTAGACGCCCAGCGGGCGAGGAGTAATTTCATTGGTAATGTGCTGGGTTTGTTGCGGGCGACCAAAGGCCGTGGGATAATCGTCTCGAGCGAGGCCAGGAGCGCGTTAGGGCTTCGCGGCCCTGCGGACGTGGTTAATCTTTTGGCGGTGTGGGGATTGGGACCGGAAAAGGGGACGGAGGCGCTGGGGACGGGACCGAGAGCCGTAGTGGTCAACGAGGGCGTCAAGAGGAGGGGGTTCAGAGGCGTGGTGGATATTGTGCAGACTGCTCCTGGCGGGAAGGTGAGGAACGAAGAGGAGGAGGGTAAGGAAGGGGAGACCAAGTTGAGCAAGAAGCAGAAGAAACTGCAGCAGAAACAACAGCAGGGGCAGAAGGGACAACAACAGCAAGGTCAAGGGCAAGGCCAAGGCCAAAAGCGCAAGAATGGAGAGGGTGGTGGTGGAGGCGCAGATGGTGGTGGGCAGCAGAAGAAACAGGCCAAGTGAGCGGGCCTAGGAACGAGTGTCTGGGGGCCCGTCGCGTGAGCGGTTAGTTGGGCCTCGACTTGACTCCCGACTTCGCATGTCAGAGGTCTTTGGGCGACACAGGGCGTTAGATTTTTCTATTTCGTTCATACAGCATCCATCTCATCACGTCTGAGACGAACACATATCACGATACCCACCTATTTAGAGCGAAAATGGGAACTATAAAAGAGCGGATGGGTTGGTTACAGGAGTTTTTGGTTTGAAGAAATCACGCCGTTGCATATGTCGGTTTAGAGATATTTGAGAGAGCAACAAGTTCAGAAGGAAACATCAAGCGTTTCTAAACTGGATCGGGTTGAACGTGCCTATCTAGATTAGCGCCGAGTATAACAATGGCGCATCTTTGACGATGTGGGAGAAACGAAAGTATTTATATATACATTATATATGCAGTCGTCACCGGCAACAACAACAACAACAACAA